GCTGAAAAAATTGAGAAAACGAAGCCTCGAACGATCGAACTCGTCCTCGACAAATTTGCTCCTTTTGATACTATTTAACGCATAAATTCAAACTCCCATAATAAATGCTCGAAACTTCAAAAAATGTAAAATTTGTCCGTATGGAATCGTGATTGAATGTCTACACGCTCCAACTCGATTCTCGTTAAACCGAGGTCACACGCAACCTTACGGGACCCCGCAAAACGACTTTTTATTCTTCTATTATGCGCACTCGACTTCGAGCTTCTCAAAATAAATGCTCGAAATTTCGAAACGTGAAATAAATTTTACGAACGGCTTCTACTGTTCTCGTGCTTTCAAGAAAGCACTCCCGCTAATTTTCAGCACGCCTAACGAGAGCCGACGGTTACCCGAAGTCTAGACATGAAAATGACAATAAAATTACCGCCGCTGCCACTTTTTTCTCAACTTCGGGCTACCCAAAATAAATGGACGGGACCTCAAAATCATAAATCGATGCCAGCAACGCACTCTCCGCTTCCCATACTTTCATAAAAGTATTTTTCGGTAATGATCGACTCGGTTTTTGAGTCCCATCGGTAATTTACAAGTCAGCTAATTAACCAACTCAAAATATAGTGAAAATAAAAAATTTATTAAATTCTGCTGCTGTTATAGTTCTCCTTGTCCCGAAACCAGGATCCCGTTTCGGGGAGAGCCCAATTTACCACTAAAAAAATATTTTCACGACAAAACCGGTGGCGCCCCTCCGGCCATGTATGTACCGCATGAAACCGAGGAGGGCCCAACATGCGCGCTCAAAGGAAAATCTTCTAGTTCCAGCAAAATCCTCCACCTCTAGTTTAAATTTTTTTATTTTTTTTAGGGGCCGGCGCCACTCCGACCCCCTTAATGGTTTCGCCACTGGATATATTAGTTATCCTATCCTAACCTGCAAAGTAAACGACCCCTGTGTGAATAATATAGTTTTGTAAATTTCAGTAATGTAATATAAATTTGGTAATTCTGTGTGAACTATTGTCTCTCTCTCTCTCTTTAATGTAATATTTCAGTAATTCTATAACATAGTTTTTTGCTCTTTAATTCGTATATATATATATACACATATTGGGCCTTTTCTTAAAAAAAATTATAAATTCGGTTTTCGGTTCGGTTCGGTTAACCGACAGATTGTAACCAAACCGAACCGAAAACCGAAATATTCATAAACTTAAACCGATAAACGAACCAATTTTTCGGTTTCGGTTTCGGTCGAAACCAAAAATTCGGTTTCGGTCGGTTTCGGTCGGTTTCGGTCAGTTATCCAAAATTTGTGCAGCCCTAATGCATTATGCACTCATTCTCACTTTTGGTTCAGCTGTTAATCATATCAACCCAATTACAGTAGTTGAAACTTGAAAAAAAACCCAAATTAAGTATTATCATTGAGCAATTTTCATAATCTTCGATAATTCACCGGGCACACTTTTCGCAGCACAAAACGAATCCACAAGCCATAAAACTATTTATCCCAACGCCTCGTCTCGAATGCTAAAATAATTTCCCACGGACTGGCCTTCCTCCGCCTCGAACTTCAGCCTAGTAAAAAAAAAAAAAAAGACGGGCTGGCCCGCCTAGCCCGCGGCCCATGGCAGGTTGGGCCGTCATTTTACAGGCCCGCTAGAATGGCGGACCAGCCTGGCCCGCCTAGCCCGTGGCCCATGGCGGGTTGGGCCGACATTTTACAGGCCCATCAGGATGGCGGACCAGCCTGCCCGCCCGCCCCGTTAAAATGCGGGCTTTCGCAGGCTTTAACATACTATTAATTGGATAATTATTTTGAGCTTTCAATTTCTTTCCAATGAATGTTTTATAATTTATATCAAACACTAAATGATGACCTACATGCATGTAATACATCTTTTCGTTTTACAACCATAAGCATAGTGAAATATTGAGTTCACAATATCAAATAAAGTATATAAGAAAGAAATTATACATATATATCATTTTCAGTATACAATATTGTCAATTGTCATCTACAAAAGAACATAAACAAAAGTATGACAATATATAGTAGAATTAAGTATATATTTTATTAAAAAAAAAATGATAATTCGACCTGTCTAACATAGGCATTGTTGTCACAACAAGAATCTGTGAGAAAAAAAAAAAAAATAGAAAAATAGAAAAAAAGGGGAACATAGAAAGCCTTAAAAGAATACCTACCGTGTGAAAGTTAAACTAGAATCCCATATACAGGTTAATGTTCCCTACGCACGGTGGGCATATGTTAATATGTCCACCGGTTATGCATGCATACATTGGTGATGTTAATATGTTCAAAAAAAATACATCACCAATGTGTGCATGCCATATAAGCGGTTGACATATTAACATGTGCTCACCGTGGGTAGGTGAGCATTACTGCCCATATGCAATCCTCAATAATTATTCAAAACAAATTTATCTTTCTTTTTTCCAGTTCAAGCTACAACACACTTTACACAAAACAACACAACTACATGAACATTTCCAAAAACAATATTTTAACTCCAAAGG